CTAGTTCAATTCCCACTCAGGGCACATTCCTGGGTTGCAGGCCAGGTCCCCAGTAGGGGCATGTGAGAGGCAACCACATGCTGATGTTTCTTACCCTCTCTTCCTATCTTCTCCTCTCTAAAAATAAATAAATAAAATCTTTAAAAAAGAATTAATATGCCCTGGCTGGTCTAGCTCAGTGGATTGAGCGCAGGCCTGCGAACCAAAGGATCGAGGTTTGATTCCCAGTCAGGGCACATGCCTGGCTTGAAGGCCAGTTCCCAGCAGGGGACACAAGAGAGACAACCATACATTAATATTTCGTTCCCTCTCTCCTTCCATTCCCCTCTAAAGATAAATAAATAAAATCTAAAAAAAAGAATTAATATGATTTAAAAATGTACACAAGATCTGCATTCATTTACTCATCTTTCTACAAAAAGCGTTGCATACCTCTGATGTGACAAAGGTTATTCTAGGAACAGGAGATCCTTTCAGATGGGGGAAAAAAAGAAAGAAAAATTGGTACCAATTTTAGTGCGCTACATGCCACACAGGGGCAAATATGTTCTCAATAACTCCAATTTGCACACATGAGAGGCACGGAGGTGTGTAAGTGGGAAAGAGACATGGACCGTTCAGGAGCAGTGAGAGGTGAAACAGAAAAGGTGGGACTGAGATGAGACGAGACAAGTTACTGAGAAGCTGCGGTCCCCAGCGCTCGGCAGTGGTTATATACAGTGAAAAGAGGAGACAGGTTTCAAAGTTATGCAAAAAAGTAGAACCGACACTGTGTGCCATTAACACAGGGCAGAGTGATAGATAAGAGAGACTGTCCAGGTCCCTGTCTTGAAAGACTGGGTAGGTGGTGTGAACTGTTATGACTACAGGCCAAAAAAGAGAGAAAAGAAGTTTAGGAAGGGAGGAAGTGGGTTGGAGGTGATGGATCTCGGTGTGACGCGTTGTTCTGTTGAGTCTGAGTGGTTGTCAGGGACCAGGGTCTAGTGATGTTAAAAATCAAACCCAAACTCACATGAGAAAGCTGCCCCAGATACATAGGTGCTCTTCAGCTTTTATACTCAAAATGTGTGGTACAAAATGTATATCCTATACTTAGTTGTACATAATATTGCTCTATTTTATCATTGTTATTTTTTTACTGTGAGGTTTGAGAGCCTAGGTAAGAGAATTTCAGTGGGGGAAGAGGAAAGGAGCAGAGAGGAACCTAATAACAACCTGAAAATAATGTAAAATGGGGTCTCATTTACTATTTTGAGTTTACTAGGATGCTCAGAATTAACAACAAAAGTTAGCTGGTGCTTAAGGGCTAACTGTTCATGGAAAGGAGGGGGAAGAAAGGAAAGTAAGAAGGATGAAGGGGGGAGGGATGGAGGGAACAGGAGGGTGGGGATGGAAACCAAACAAAAAGAAAGGGGTTAGGGGAGTAGAGGCCAATGTCAAGGAGGAAGTGACTTAATTGAAAACATGTTTCAATCCAGTAACCAAAGTTTCTTCACAACCTGACACCAGAAAAATCTTCTGATTCCCCCTATTAAGCAATTATTTCTTATATGAAAAGACCAGTCCTTTTCAACCATTTTCCCACAGTATCCCAAGGGAGACATGAATGAGAGGAGTTCTTATGTCAGAGAACTGGAAGAATGTGTTGCCAGTGTGTGTGAAAAGCTTGGAATGGACAGGTTGCCATGGAAAATGATATTCTGGGAACTCCCCCAGAAGAAGAAACAATGAGAAAAGGTAATGGCACATATTCAGAACTAAACATAAATAAATTAGTAACCTTCGTGCCATAGAAAGTTCTGACCCAGAGGAGGAGATTCCTGTTTCCTTTGATGTGTGCAATTCAAAGGAACATTTATATATTGAGCACTACCACAGAGGAGGAACTACAGAAGGTACTATAATTCTAGGGGCTGGAGAAAGGGGCTTGAATGTTTTAGGGGAGGAGAAAGACTCCATAGCATGTGAATCTGAGTGGGTCTGGGAAATTCTGGGGAAGAGTGAGAAGCTCAGATGAGAAGCCCAAACTTCTCAGCCTCACTGTCTTCCATTCTGGCACACTGGTCAGTCAAACATAACAGGGTAGGACCGAGAAAGGACTGAGTTTAGGAAGGACTGTTAGCTAACGTTCAGTTGGCTTTCCTTTCGTTAGCCCACTCACATTCTCCCACAAACTCGATAGGAGAGAACCTGTAGTTTCATAAGGGATCAGGCAACATGAGTCCTCTTAGCCAGGGTCTGGAAACACAAAGAAATCCTGCACTGCATGGTTCAAATTCTACCCGGAGTTAGAAAATTTTAAGTGGTGTTTAGATTGAAGTACTGAGTGGCCAGCGTCCTTTATTATAGGAGAAAATAGCCAATATTCCAAGAATGGAGCCAGAGAGAAGTGGAAATGTCATGAGTTTTTATTACATACTTGTCGGGCTTATTATGTGGTGGTATATTCAATTTAAAAGCTGCCTATCAATTACAAAATTATATGCAAAAAATTTTAAGGATTTGTATACACCCACTTAAGAGGTATTAGAATGCATGCAGTAGATAGTGCCAAAGAGCCTTTTGGGACTGCTTAAAAGAATATCACTAATTTTTACAGTGTACTTCCATTGCTGGAGCTATTCCAGAGCTGGCTTTCTATAAAAATCATTTCAAGTTAGAATTATGCTATTTGCTTGCAGCAACATCACAGGAGCAGTAGTACACCATATGTTCCTACTTAGCAACTTAGTCTATAAGTCTCAAAGCATGTACTGATTTGAAAATTGAACTGGAATTATAATTGTTGAGTGACGCTATGAGGCAAGTTGTCTTGGATTACTAAGCTATGCAGATGTCTGATGTTATGTAGGAAAAGAACAAAACTTTTTTTTCCCCTGCAGGATGACTAAAATCTTACCAACGGTTGCCAAAAGGGGTACATTGATTAAAATTCCCTAAAAGAATACCAGGTAATGAATTCTGGAACACACTATATTACAGTTAACAAAAGGAACGGTAAGTGCAAAATTCAGCTAAGGCCATTCAACTTATGTGATTTGTGAAGTTTATTTCCCTCCAGAGTATCTATGATCTTACATTAGTCTAATTTTTAAAAGTAACGCATGCTAAAAAACATCCTCACGTGCACTACATTATTAAAAGAGCTTCATTCTGGCACACACACCTGTCACAGCTTTACAAAGACAAAGTATCTGGAGTTCTTACTCCTTCATAAATTTTCACTGGTGTTTAAAACACTTTTTAGTAACTCCTGACTGAAATATTAAGAAAAATAAAGTTAGCTGTTTGATATCAGTCCGGGCTTAATATTATCCATCTGCTGTACTCGAATTTAAAAATCTAAGGGCCTGAGCTCTTATGATGTATATGCTTTGAATTTCTAATCCCTTTTCCAAAAGTCTTTAAGAAGGACATAATGATTCTCTGAGAGGGAACAGCTGCTTTATAACAGCAATCATTTATTGAGTTTGTGTTTCTACTGTTTCAAACAAATTCAATTAGCCCTTACACTTCAAAACCCTAAAGGCACCAAAGAGATGATACTGGGTTGCTCTAATCTAATAGCAATACTAAACTTGTCAGTACAGTTTTGGGATTGATGGTTAGAAGAAAATTAATAGTAACATTTTTCATTTTTTAATCAAACAGTCCTATTCAGAAGCACCTATGGATCTTGGAGGCTACTTAGCTGAATGAATTCCATTCTGTAAGAATTTTAAATGCAAAGCTCGGCCTTCCAAAGGTATTCTGAGTGTGGTCAACTCAGTGGAATGGGAGGAAATGTAGTCCGGATCTTTGAACTTCACGATGATCTTCTGGTCTGAACAATTAGAGTGTGGTTTCTAGAATGTCTGCCAAAGGAGGCAGTGAGTGATCCTAACGACTTCTAAATGCAAAGTTCATGGAGAGGCAGGCCTGCCTCTGTTTTGAGTTAAGCACAAGACATTTGGTTCTTAGAGAAATTTCAAAGCCCCTCAAAATGCACCCTTACCATACACATTACATTTAATTCACTGACAACCTCCATGAAGAACAACAGAAATTTTATCACCCTCCTGCCCCCACCCTTCCTAGTTAACAAATCTATTGGGCAGATAATGTAGGCATTGAAAACGACCCTACATGTTAGAGTTTCCACCATGGTCACTGTTACAAGAAACTCCAAGCTACCGTGGTTTTATAGTCTTCTAGGAAAATACATGTTCAAGCCCACAAAATGTTCCTATGTACTTACCCTCACTTTCATTCATTCATTTGTTTATTTTTTGCTTACAATGTTCTTATATATTATGTTATACTGGCACCCTAGGACAGTTATAATTTTGCTTTAAATGTCCTGGCTGGATTGAAGGGCCTGGTCTTAAGTATCTAAAAATAAATAGCTAAGCATTGGCTTTTATAATTGTAACCACTGGAATTTTGTTGTCACTTCTCATGACTAAATACCTTGTCAACCATTCCCAGTGAAACGGATACAAACGTGCCCTTGAAAGGTTTCGATCATATCATGCATTTTGGCGTGAAAACTACCCACCCAAAAGATTCTGAAAGCAGCCATAGAGCGCCGATCGGCCACGTGATTTTGGTTACAAATATAACATTTTATTGAAAACTGCCACAACAGTGGATAATTAAAACTATTTGTGGCATGTGTAGCTTATAATGATTAACTTGTCTCTAGTCAGAAGCACAAACAACCTGCACCTGTAAAGACTTTATTTCCTAAAGGTAAAACAACTGTTTAGCAAAGATCATGCTGGCAAAACAGCTGCTTGCCGTTCTGGAGGGAAACAAGGTAGCATCTTTCAACAAACGCCAACTCCGGTGCTTTATCAGCTCTATCTCATTAACTGGAAACAAGGCTTAAATGCTTTGTTTATAAATTATGATTATTCCTGATTGCGGCAGTTACTGATAGTGCTACTCATTTGCAATGCAACTCTTTGAATTTGTTTAATTACAATTTGAAACAAGGCAGAGAAGATTAATTAACCCACCTGGCTGGCTGGCACATAGTCCTGGCTCGGCTCTGTCATGCTCATGTACATGTTCTCACCGTCAAACTGCGAATGAAATAATAGTAAACATTGAGCAATCTTGACTGTGTGCAGGGTTTTTGTTTGTGTGTGTGCCTGTTTGTTTGTTTTGTTTTGTTTTTCACCCCCAAACTAAAAAACAGTAGCCATAAAAAAAAAAAAAAAACACTGTGTTTGGGAATATGAAAAATCTGTCCTAGTGAGTGAGCCACATTTTTTCTTTGATGTTTCTGTTGTCATCCTTCCTGACCTTGGATGTCAGTGATTTGGAGTAATTAGTGCTCTAGTAATTACAGCAAGCGAGCAAGAAATGAATGGCTTCCTTTCATCTGCAATCTGTTTTAAAACAAAATGGCTCATTTTGCGTACCATGTATACATACTGCAGTTTGGTTGTAATGAAGTATTAAATGAATGGCACAATTTCTGGGGGAAAAAGATAGTGGGAAATAAACTAAGGCACAGCTCAATGCATTCTGAGTTTAGCTCTCAAAAATGAAAGAGTACAGAGCTTTCATAACAGACTAAAACTGGCTTCATCACAACAGCCTTATGATTAAAAATTTTAACTTCATGATAACATTTGAAAAAAACATGTGCTACTATACCCATGGCTAAGAGTGATAACAATAATGAATAACAATAAAAATATACAAGCCTGATGATTAAATTTCCCTCTCTGAAGTTTCTCAATGACATAGAATTAATGTAAGTATTACAAATGCATAGAAATTCATACACACATTTACAAGTTCGGAACAAGATGGGAGGAGGAAATTCACCAGGCAGAGCAATTGCAGAACGACGCAATAGTTCATGCAACAGCAATAACAACAACATACTTTCCATTATTTGGGGTTTTGAAAGCAGTAATTGCTCCATTCATATTTAATCCTCGGCTATCTTTAGTCACTTGATAAATGGACAAGGCATTTCTTTTTTCATTAGGAGAAAAAATTCCCCAAGGAAATAATCAAATGCACTAATATAGCCAGTTTCAAAGAGCTGAGTCTGAATATACGTTCACTGCCAGACTAATTTCAGACATAGGAACTTGAAAATCTGAAAAAAATTACAATAGTTTTCAAGGCCAAATGAAGTTATTGATGGAGGAGCAAACACAGAGTAACATGAACATACTTTATATACCATCAAAAATTGTGTTATAGACATCATATTCCACCACCTGTGAGGGGCTAGCACAAGAGGGTTGTACGAAATATAGGGACGCACCGAACGAAGCCTCTGAACCGTAGTTAACAGAAGTGGGTGCCCTGAGTGTTCACATAAACATCAGCGGTATGAATAAAGACCTCCCTAAGGATGCTGAAGCACTCATGAGGTTAAGTTCAAAGAACCAAAGGATTTCCTCACTCATCACCCTACAGACATATTTCATGTTATGTGAACAACCTTATCTAAACGGATATGAAATCACTTATTGAATGATGTGGTTGTTCAGACAAATCAGAAATAGCACACTTAGAAAAGACTAGCCGGACACTTTAGTTGCTTTGTCATCTGGCTCAACAACCCTGAGTCCAAGTTACTTACCCAAGGTTGCTTTTCCATCAGTCAGGTGATAGATCACCTTCAACCCAAAGACAGTCCTAGCCCCAGTCAATCTGTCTGTTCTTCTTGACAACTCAAAACTTGACAAAGCATCATTTAGCATTTCTCCACCCACATCCACTGTTGGTTTGTTTGCAAATGTTTTTAATGTCAAGATGCCAAAGAAACACTTAAAATATGGACAGTTTCTCTGACTATAACAAACTAAATTGAACAGAAGTAGTGAAGTGAATCAAACACTCCACTGCCTGTGCAAATTCTATAAATGTGTTACTTTCTATTCCATCTTCTCTAACTCACTTGCTAAATCTGGTGTCATTTTCAAGCCAACTGAGGCTTTGGAGTTTTGGTTTTAGTCTATCCAAAGTGTATGCTAATTAAGCGTATTCAATGTTACTGCTCTTGATAAGGACTCTTTACTCAAAAAGTACCAATGTTTAAGTAATATTGAGCCAAGGCTATAATAGCATTTTATAATAAAAGGTATGTTGCTATAGACATAACTGTTTTGTTGAATACATTCTACGTCCCCATGACCTACCTCTATCTTTACATTAACTGATGTATATTATCTGATTTAATCTTCATAAAAACCAAGATTTAGGTATTTTTATTACTTACAGTTTATAAATTATGACAAAAGGCACAGAGAGCCCTGGCTGGTGCAGCTCAGTGGATTGAGTGTGTGCCTATGAATCAAAAAGTCGCAGGTTTAATTCCCAGTCAGGGCACATGCCTGGGTTGCGGGCCAGGTCCCCAGTAGGGGGCACTTCAGAGGCAACTACACATTGATGTTTCTCTCCCTCTCTTTCTCCTTCTCTTCCTCTCTCTCTAAAAATAAATAAACAAAATCTTTAAAGAAAGGCATGGAGTTTAAGCCAGATCCTCAAGGTCACATAGCTCTTAAAAGGCAGAGTTAAGATTTAAAGCTGAAGCTTGGCTTTCTAGCATATGTGCTTAACATATCAGAACATAGAGTCCAAATCATAATGATAAATTAGCTATCAATTCTGAAAATGTCAATAAATTACCAAAGCATATCATTGGCAATATCTCAATGATGTTTAGGCATTGTTCAAGAATGTGTACAATACTGTGAGACTTTCAAAAAAACATATGTCTCAAAGAAAAAAGGCAAAAAGTATCACACTCCATGACTTCAAGTTATACTAATGAGTGCCGATAATCAAAACAGCATGGTATTGGCAGAAAAAATAGACACAGAGACCAATGGAACAGAATTAAAAGTCCAGAAATAAACTTGCATGTATATGAGCAGAGAATTTCCTTTTAAAACAGTTTTTATTGATTGACTTTAGAGATAGAGAGAGAGAGAAACATCAGTGTGTTGTTTCACTCATCCATGCATTCATTGGTTGACCCTATAGGTGTCTTGACCAGGGATGGAGATACAACCTTGGCATATCAAGATGATGCTCCAACTGAGTGAGCTATCTAGCCAGGCTATGAGCAAATAATTTTCAACAAAGAGCCAAAAGCACCAAATGGAAAAAGAAAGCTTCTTCAATAAGTGGTGCTGGGAAAATTGAGAAGCCACATGCAAAAGAATAAAACTAGACTGCTATTTGTCATCAAACATAAATATTAACTCAAAATAGATCAGACCTAAATACAAAACCTGAAACAATAAATTACAAAGAAGAAAACATAGGTACTACAGTTCTAGACCTTGATTTTAGAGTAGATTTTATGAATTTGACTTCAAAGGCAAGGAAAGTATTGTAAAAGCAAAAATAAATGAATGGGGCTTATCACACCAAAAAGCTTCTGCACAGCAAAAGAAACCACCAAAAAATGAAAAGGCAATAGACCAAATGGGAGAAGATATTTGCAAACAAATATCTTTGATAGGGGTTAATATCCCAAATATATAAAAAACATATGACTTAATAAGAAGAAAACTAACGATCCAATTAAAAAGTGGGCAGAAGACCTGAACAGATACTTCTCCCAAGAAGACACACAAATGGCCAACAGATATGAAAAGACGCTTACCTTCACTAGCTATTAGGGAAAAGCAAACCCAGTAGGGGGTGGATGAGAGGCAACCACACATTGATGTTTCTCTCCCCCTCTCTCTCCCTTCCCTTCTCTCTAAATATAAATAAATAAAATCTTAAAATTAAAAAAATACAATGAGATGCTGCCTCACTCCTGCTAGAATGGCTATTACCAGCAAGACAGGTAATAACAAGTGCTGGGAGGTTGAGAAGAAAGAGGAAGCCTCATTCGCTGCTGGTGGGAATGGACACTGGTGCAGCCACTATGAAAGCAGTATGGAGGTTCCCAACAAATTCGGAACAGAGTTAGCATATGACCCAGCAATCCCTTTTATAAATATCTACCTAAAAATTGGAAAACATTTATTTATAAAGATACATGGTGGCCAACACATGAAAACAACTGAAGTGTCCTTTGATAGATGATTAAATAAAGAAAATGTGCTATACTATACACACACACATATATATATATATACTATTCATATACACATATCACATTCGCAACATCGATGGATATTGAGACTATCATGCTAAGCAAAGTAAGTCAGATGGAAAAAGTCAGGAACCATATAATTTCACTCATTTGTGGGACATACAACTGAAAGCAACAAATGAGCAAACAAGACAAGCAAAAAAACTCATAGATACAGACAACAGTATGGCGGTTACCAGAGGGAAAGAGGGTGGCAGGACATAGTGAGGGTAAAGGGAGTCAAATATGTGGTTACAGAAGGAGATTTGACTATGGCTGGTAAACCCATGATGCAAAACACAGATATTATATTATATTATGGAATCATGCACTTAAAACCTAGCCAATGTCACACTAATACATTTAATTAAAATCTTAAGAAATAAATTTTAAAAATCCCATGAGTCTTGGTAAACTATCATCAATTTGGTAATCAGGCTCATCAATGTCCCTGGATGCTTTGTAATTAAACCTTAAAACACCAAGATATAGTGACAGTTAATTTTGTTAACTTGACCGGGCCACATGGTGCCCCAATATTTGGTCAAATACTGTTCTGGGTGTGTCTGTGAGGGTATTTTTGGATGAAATGAACATTTGAATTGGTAGACTGAGTAAAGCAGATTGGCCTCTCTAATATAGGTGGGTCTCATCCCATCAGTTAAAGGCCTAAAGAGAATAAAAAGGTGGATATTCATGAGAAAAGGAGGGAACACCTCCAGCTGGACCAGTTTGCCCGTTGATCCGGGACATTGGTCTTTTCCTGCCTTCACACTTGAACTGGAACATCACCTCTTCTTGGGTCTGAAGCCTGACAGCTTTTGGACTGGAACTATATCACTGGCTCCCCTGGGTCTCCAGCTTCCCAACTACAGATCTGGGGACTTGTCAGCTTCCATAACTGCATGAGACAATTCCTTACAAAGAACCTGTTTCTTTGCCTACATACACCCTGTTGTT